GGTCTGATCCAATATGGCAATTCCTGTGTCCTATGTTATTTCACTGTATACACTACTTATGTACCAATCAATACCCAACTACTACGGACTATAAATTAGTAACGTATAAGGTAACTGTTCCAAATATGCATCCCAGTTGTGTACCAACATATACGTAACACTTCTGTACTTTGAAACTCTATAATTACCTGAATATTCAGGTGCATCACTTCAAGTACAACCAGCTTAAATGTATAGTTTTCCTAACTGCAGGCTTGAAAAGGGACCACACATACCTGTAATTCATCTTTTGAAATGGAAGTAGACATTTTAGAAAAGTACATTTTTTAAAAAAATTGCCCATTACCATAATAAAACTAAACTGAATTCTTTAAGGTTCAAGCCTCCAGGGCTGATACAAAATTAATTTAATAGAAGACTGAATAACACAATAAGAGATAAAATTAAAAACTTTAGTTAATATAAAATAGTTAAGCAAACAGGCATTACAATATAACCATACACTACATTGATATTCACTTTCTAAGATGAAATGATGCATTTAGGGTGATCGGTCCCAAAATGAGGAGAATGGGTATAATTCTTTCTCTAACACCACTTAGTTAATTAACATTAAATACACTTTTTTCCATAATTAAATATTTTTGACTTTCTTACTGGCTATTTAACAGTAAGCATCACCTTAATCAATATCTCTGAAAATGCCATACCAATAACTATCAATATCGATAGCATTTTCCAAAACATTAACATTTTATCTAAAACTCTTGTAAAAAACAGTTACGACTAACATATGTTTATAGTGTGACCTGGGGTTATGTCCTAACTTATCTTCAACTTGCCTCTTAATTGTCTCACTTCACTTTACTCATATTGTTCCAGGTCTGACTTGACTATTGTCAGTTCCATTTTTAAAGAAATAGATTTTGGGGCCTACTTATATTTCAATATCTATATAAACATAAGCAAGCTCTATAGGCTACAAAACCCTCCAACCTGAGGAAATGGAGAGATCACTTGCTATTTTTACCCAAGAGATGAATATTTATGTGAAGGTTCTTGTTTTAATGAGAGTTTTTTGGATGAAGTTGTTTAGAAAAAATATTGGAACTGGTTAACACATACATTTGCAGTGGGTTTGACTCTCATCTCCTGCCACTGTAGATAAGGTGGTTGTGATGGGGGTTTACAGACCTAACACTAAACTGGAGCAAGGCATGGATCAGGACTGGGCCAGGGAGGCCCTGCCCCATAACAGCTGTAGAGCATGCTCCAGCTGGTGGGACAGTTTAAAAAGAGCACTGGTCACCCTGTGAGAGGGAAGGTGATTTCAGGTTGCAGCAGAAATTGAGGCTGATGCCTGGAGCTGTGGGCAAAGTGACTTCAGCTTTGGTAAGGCCCCCTGTGAGCAGTGATCCAGATGTCCCACTCCCTTTTGGAGCTGAGAACCCACAAGAAGCCCTGAGGAATGAGATGTTGTCCTCTGATAGATGAAGCAGATACTACTAAGATTGTGACCATGCCCCAAACAGAGAATTTACAGCCCAGTAGAAGACTGGTAAGACTGTAATGGGGTATACAAACCCCACACTGGACAACATGGATTAATGAGCCAATGTGGGCTCAGATGGCTCTGCCCTGTTGCACCTATGAGAAATGTCTGGATTGGAGGGAAGACCTTTAAGAGAGAGAGCCCCAGCATAGTTGGGTGGCAGGGCGGGTTGGGGGCTCTGACTAAGGCTGGCTGAGCTATACTTTGTGTGGGGAGGGAAGATGTAATGGAGAATACTGGAACTAATCTATAAGGGGAAGGCTGATCCCAGGTTAGGGAAAAGAAACGGATGGACATGCTAATTGCTAATTTATACTTAGTGCTAATATTTTATCATTTCTTTCACTTCCCTTTTTATTTAGGATGGTTTAACCATAGAAACCTCCTTTTATGATGGAAAAATCATGGGGGGTTTGGGCTTCCAATAAATCATAAACAATGTCTCGTTCTCATTCATATTTGTATGCTTAAATATTCCCACACACACACATTCACTCAGGTCTGCTTATGATTGTTTTTAGCATTTGAAAATTGGCCTCTTTAAAGCACAAGGTACATATATTACTGTGTGGGAAGAGAAGAAAATAAAGTATAAAAAAAACTTACATTTTATGTGTGTTATTTAATAAATTCCTGAGGAAAATGGGATTAATAAAATGTACTTAAAATAAAAACATAATTCCAAACACCTTCCAAAAGTTATGACTATGTACATGACAGAAAAATTGTTCAAGTAAATGGCATTCATTATAAATGCAAAATTCTTCTTTGTAAAACTAAGAAGGTTTTAAAATGTACTCAAGTATAATGTATTACAAGTTCTGATGGTTTTATCGTGAGTTATGATATTTTGTGCTTCCCTAACTTATCTCCTGGAGGTATGAATCTCAACTTTCTCTTAACAACTTTTTTAAAAATTTCTCGCTATATCTGGTCAGAAAATGATCCTCCCCACCCCCCATGGAAAACTTTGACTTTTTATTTAAAAAAAGTTTTTGACCAAAAGCTTTTCAGTTTTAATTTTTTTTTTATTAAAAGTTTAAATTTTCCACAGAAAGTAGACCAAACCCATGAAATTTTCATTTGGTTGAAAACTTGATTTCCACCCCACCCTCATCAAAATACAGTGTCAATGGAAAATTTTCAACAAGCCCTATTCTAAGCCCTGCTGGTTGTGGACAAAACCTTGAAAATGTGAATCATAAAGGCTCTAAAACAGAAGGCAAATAAATAGAATGCAAAATATATTTTAATAAAGATTTAAGTAAATCTTATGATTTCTTGGGGCCTAACTCATAATTTTTTAATGTTTGGGGTTGGCAGTACTGCAGTAGCTAAAAAATAAAAAATAACGAACCCTCTCTCTCAATACCTGAAAATGTAATGATAAACCTACTTTTTTTACCTAAAAACCATAGAACATAACTTATGAAACTATTTTGATTTCTACTATGATGGAGGTTAATCAATTTAAAGTGCAGTGGTATGTGTACTGAGGCTTCACAAGAGCCACACCAACTGCAAATTGGGCCCTGAGAATGTCAGGATTAATTGTGGACAAAACTATGACATTTGTTTCATATGCAAAAATGAAATTCCATTTGTTCTGAATACCAGAGTATCTGCTACCTCTGTTGATTGCATTTTCTATATGGGAAGAGAATTCATAATAAAAAGAGTGAATTTTACATTTTATAGAATTCCCTGAGACTAGGACCAGCCAAAACTCTCTAGTTGCTTTCCCCAGGGACATGAGAGCTCAGTTCAGATGACAATGATAAAAATGAGGAACTGTTAGAATTTATTCTCAGAGTCCTGAGGTAAAACCCGTAGCAAAGACTCAATTAATTAAACCGTGATAAACTTGAAGAGAGCCTTATTTTGTTGCTGTCTGATAAAACTAGATAACATGACACTCAACGCTTGTTTTTAAACACAAACCAGAAACTTTAAACTCAAATGTAAAGAAAGCAGGCTTTTTTAAAACTAAATCATCTCTCAAGTAGTGAGAGACTGACCAGTTTTACCTCATGAGCTCAATTGTCCTACACCTTAAATGCTCACGTAGCTATATCACCTAGTGAATTAAAAAGCCACAAATATAGAAGCCTTCATTTCCTCTTTAAAGAAATATCATAGGCACACAATACAGGATAATGCACATAGGTTTATTTCTGATGGTAACTACTGTAAATCAAACACCAAAATAGTCTAAAAAAAATTTTTGTACAATATATAATTGAGAACTAATCAAATGCTACTCTTAATCAGAAGAAAGCAAATCCATAATTTATATGAACTGTAAAAATCAACACTGTACCAGGGATTAAAGGAATTCTCTCTCTATCCACAGAGTGTTTAGATTAGAAAGAGTGAGTGGGAGAACATGCAGTTTTGAAATACATTTTTTTTTAATCTTATGCATACTCCTTGGTATGACCTGTTCATTCATTGCCTGTGGAACTCAATCAACAGGCATGTATCAATTGGGTCATCCCTGATTAATACAATCAATTTTAAGTTTCCCCTTTGAAAACATTAGCTATTTGGAGGAAAAGATGGTAATTATTAGCCAACCACATCAACAGTCAGATAAAATGAACAGGAGAAACTTATCTGGCTGAGAGGTGGTATTGGTCTGTGACGGTTCAAAAACTGTGTCAGTGAACTTAGTGTAAGAATCTAAAACACACCCCAATTTACATGCTATTAATACATACTATCTTTTCTTTCCCATATGCCTGCCTGCCAGTCTCCCTCTCTCCCTGTCCCTGTAGCTTTCTGTTTCTTTTAGAAAGGGGGGAGCATGGGAAAACTGAGCTGGCTTGTCTGACAGACAGAAAATATAGATTTAGACCACCATTATATTAAAAAAATCCACTAATTTGTGATTCTAGTTTGGAAATCCAATTTGACATGACAGGGTCTTGATTCTCAGAGATGCTGAATGCTTGTAGTTCAATTTGCTTCAACTGGAGATGTGCAGTTGAGATCAGTGAGAACAGGATCAGGCCCTATCTAGTTTTGTTTACTTTTTCTCCCCACTGTAACCTAATGATGGCTAGAATTAAATTGGAGTTGCTGTACTTTGAAAGACTTGTGTACACAAACTTCTGCAGAAAAAAAAGTATAAAATTACAGTTTTCACTTGCATTGCCTATGGCCTATTACTCACTTCTACATATGAGTAATAAGATGCCTCTATCCATATTAGATTAGATTAAGAAAGGGACATAACACAGCAGCTGTGTCAGGTCTTCCTTTTAAATTACATTCTTATAGAGAACCTCCTTCTGGTGGAATTAAAGAAAAAACCTAAAACCAATATTACACAAGAGCTATTAAAAACTTAAATCACATGAGTCACCATTGAGACAGTTGCCAGTCCTGACAGGATCCCTAAAATATGAAAAATGTAGATTCCAAAAACACCCTTGTTACTGCAAATTTATATAATTACTTTTGTTTTGTCATCCACATTTGCAGAGTCCCAACTCTTTGACTTCCGGAATGACTCATATTTTGTTGAAGTTTGGAGGCTGTGGTTTTTGGGTTGTTGTTTTGTTGTTGTTGAGGTTTTGTTTTTACTATTTTAACCAGAGTTCACTTGTGGGGTAGAAGTGATCATCCGTCACGGTCACCATGCCTCAGTGGGTCACAGCTGAGAATACCAGATTCAGGACAAACTGTTGAGAAATCCCAAACTGGTGGTTATTCTTCCATAAGATATGCCAAGCCAGTAACAAAAGTAAACTTCTAGCTCACTACACTAACTAACAAGAAGTCAGAAATGCAGTCTCCTTAGGTATCCCAGCTCTTGTTTCACCACCCAGACACTAGACTTAATGATGAGTGGCTATTTAAAACCAATTTCAGCAAACAAAGGTTTCTTCTAATCCCAAGAGATCAGCCACACAGCCAGGCCAATATATAACTCAGATCTTACCCAATAATTATGCTGTTGCCAATCCTTTAGTATCTAATATCTAAAGGTTTCTTTATAAGAGAAAAGAAAGAGGAGAGAGTTATAATGGTCAAGGAAAACAAATACATACATTCATTGCAAAGTTCTTGGATCAGTTTTGTAGCAGTGATGGAATAAACTGCTGGCTTGTAAAGTCTCTGGTAACTTCTAAAAGATTGGAAGGTCCTCAGTCCATTGGTTGAAATGCTCCTTTTGATGTAAGTCCAGAGATCAGAGAAGGAAAAAGGCAAAATGGAGATGCTTCCAGGGCCTTTTATACTTCCTTCCTTGTGGCGGGAATGCTATCAGTCTTAGTTTGTGGAATATTATAGGCACAGGATGGAATCCAGGGTCACATGAGCAAGTCACATGTCCTTTCATGCTTTGATGAGTCATAGGAGCAGCCATATTCTGGCTAAAGTGTCTAAAGAAAGGCTCACCAGGTGCTGATAAGCTTCTTCTATGTTTGTATATTGTGTTTATTGATGGGCCATCAATGTGAATAGTCCATTCACAGTGTGCTGGCTAGTCTGGATGTAAACTACCTGCTGGGTGTTACCGCAGGCGCAAACACATTTGAAATACTGGTACATAGTTAATATTCATAACTTCAGATACAAAAATGATACATGCATATGACTAGGATAGTCATATTCAGCAAATCATAACTTTTCCATTGATGCCTTATATGATATATTTTGTACAAGATTTGTTGCATTTGACTTAGTGGCAATATTAATGATATACCTGGTCATGTTTCAATCATACAGCATCACAGTCACTTCTTACATTTTCAATGGAAGGGCGGGGGGTTAGGCAAGCGGGGGGAAGAGTCGCGGTGTGACAGAAGCACTGGGGAAGAAAAATACTGGGAAAAAAGAAAATAGATGAGAGTTACCATCACTTTCCTCCCTCCCAGCTCAAGAAATTTCAAATATTTTCCTTTCTTGAGATCTTTTACAGAATATTTGAGTTTCAGAGAGTTGTGCAAATAGTAAAAGACTCAATACACCAATCATTTTTTCTGAGTTTCTGCTGCTATCCATGGATTTTATGATTTGTGTTTATACACAAGACTATACACATTTGTTTTTTAATTGAGTCAGTGCTGGTATATACAGGGAAATTGACCAGAATAGAGTTTGTGGAATAAGCTATTTGACCCAAAATGAAATTTGTTGACTTTTTTCATTCACTGAAAGTTCAAAAAAATTTCAGTTGGACCCTTACCAATTTGATTTTTTTGAACTGCCAGTGAACTGAAAAGTCAGTTATTTACTCAGCTCTACTTATGGATCCTGGAGTCAATAAGGAGTCAAAAAGAGCATTATCAGAACAGCACAGTTAAATGGCACATGATTTTTTCTCCCGATAAAGTAAAATATGTAAAATACTATGCATGTACTAAATATTATGTTGTTATTTTCATGGACTATGATTCCATTAACCAGATCATTCTTGGGCCCATCATCTTTGACACCTTTAACTCATATTTCTTATGTGGTTGTTGGAAACTCTGTGCATCTGTTGGACTGCAGCCCAGCAAGAAACACATCATATGGCAGATGATCCTTCTTTTGACCAAGAATCCTGAAAGTGCCAAGCTCCAAATACCCTTCAATCAGTTTTTTTCCCCTTCACTTCCCTATCTGGAGTTGGCGACTTTTATAGCCTTCCTCCAAAACTCATAATTATATGGTTGTTGTGCAAATTGATGTGTATAAGGTTTGCCGATAACTGGTCTATGTACCTAGTCTTTGGCCAACCCATTGGTAATCTTCCATCCAGGATCATTGCAAGGGCCATCCTACCAATATAGCTCTCAAATCTCCACTGGACACGTCCATACCAACTTAGCCTAGCCTCCCTCATCTTGGCTTCTATTGGGTCAACCCACTTTTGGCCTCTCACAACCTCATTTAGTTTCCAACCATTTGACCATCTCAACGTCTTCATTTCCATAATGGAGAGCCTACTGATTTCCTTTCCTGTGGCTGTCCAAGTCTCTGTTCCATATATTAGGATGGGTCAAATTGCAGTTTTATATACTCTACCTTTTAACTCTGACAGCTTTTTATCACAGAGAACTGGGGTCATCTCCTGCCATTTGCACAAGGCAGCTTTGGTATGATGCTGGGCATCACTCAAGAGGGCACCACCATCAGCAATTATTGATCCCAGGCATTTAGATTCTTTCACTCCAAGGTCTCTGCCTGTAACATCCTTTATAGTAGGTCTTCCTCCTTTATCAAAGCCTCAGTCTTACCCGTGTTCACTCTAAGTTCTGCTCAAGACTGTGTTGCCATTGTTCTAAATTGGTTTTCAGAGTCTCACAATCTTTTGCACTTTTCATTAAGTTATCAGCAAACATATTCCAAGGTGGCTCCTTTTGTATATTCTCATTTTTCACATACGTGATAACTGCAAACAAAAACTGGCTCCACACTGATGCAGGTCAATGCTTACTGGAAATTCTCTGCTGTAGCTCCATTTGGTTTTGACCATACTAGTCACTCCTCTTACATATCCTGGATTAGACTGACATATCCTTCTGGCACACCTCTCCATCACAAACTACACCATACTAAGTCTCTTGGTACATGATTATACACCTCAAAGTCCACACAATTGCAGTCTCTTTTCTCTGAACTTTTCCATGAGGATTCATAGAGTAAATAGGGCATCAACTGTACTCCTTCCCAGCATAAATGCATATGAACTCATCCATATTTCAACTGTTTCACACAGATACTTTTCAATAATCGTCTCCCATATTTTATAGAATGTGACTTCAGCTCCCAATACCCTTCCTTCGCTACCTCTTCTTATAGCCTGAAGGTTATTTCTCCCAGGATGGTCTGTGTGAAGTTCCCAAACAAAATCTATGACTCAAGTGGTCTAATTAAAACCAAGATTTCTTAAGAATATGGAAAAGAAAATTGAAACCAAAGAAACTGTCTGTATAAACAGATCTAGTCTGAAACTGAAAAACCCCATCTAAATGGATATGGCATAGGGTTGATTACTATGAATAACATAATACCTCACATTTTCTCTTTTTTCCCCTCAGAGTCTTTTGGCCTACAGGCTTATTAGCCATGTCCCTATCTGCCCCTGTTGGCTATGCAGCACCTCAGAGACAGAGCCTCTGGTTTTAGGTGTCTTCAGTTCCCTTTTCCCTTTGAATCCCACTCCTTTACAATCCCCATTTTTGATGGTCAAGAGTTCATTGTTATACACATGCCGGCCAGAGTTACAAGAGCATCTCAACTGTGCAATGTCGGGGTGTTCCTTCTGTTCTTCCTAAAATGGCTATGATCCTCCATATCATCACATTCCACCCAATCTAACTCTGGAGGTGTTTCCCAACTTAATACCTGGCATTTGAAATGCCACTCTGACCTACTCTGCATTTAGTCAATCTAAACTGTCATATGCCTGGATCCTGGCTGCGGGTGTTAGACTGAGTAAAGCTGTCTATCTACATTTTTTGGATACTTTCCTCTCACCAGTCTTTCTAATCTGTATCAAATATGAATTGTTGACACATTAAAGTCCACTTTTCATATGCTGTAAATAGCTCTCAAGGAAGTTATGGGCTGGAACCTCAGCTGTATCAGCACAACTGACTCAGCACAGCCTGATCCTAGGCCAGCAATGGGCCAAAACAGCCCAGCAGAAGTCTAAAGAGTTCCTCTAAAGTATGCTGACTGCTGCACAAACCCAGGATCAGCAGAGCACCATGTGCTTTTCCCCATTCCTCCCTCTCCCCAGTGACAGTCTCCCAACTTGCTTTAGACAACTTGACAAAATTCTCAGTCTGCTGTTAAAAAGCTAGAAATTGTATAATATCTAATTTCTGAGACACTTACTGTACCTGATTGTTCTCAAGTAAACTGCAATGACTTTGTCAGTCCCTAAACTATTGGTTCTCCATTTCTTCTGTCACTCATCATTACCCTTTGTCACCTTATTTGTTCTAGCCAATTTAATTCATTGATGTTGGTTGCAAAGGATATAAAACTCCCTGTGATTCTTGGCAAGTATGAGTCAGCCTCCTGCATGATAAGTAGGAGTGGAGTTAGTTGATAGTCAGAGATGTAAGTTATAATATCCTTTTGATGCTCTTGAGGCCTGGATGGGGAAAGAAAGCTGCTAAAAAAATTATCAAAGAATTCTGAAATTTGAGATCCCTCTCTCCAAAATGCAGTTTAACATGTTGACGACATTGCTGTTTTATGTTGAAGACCACCGGAAACTCAGAGTGACTTTCTGAAATAACTATGATAAAAAGGGTCAAGTTGATTTAAGACCAGAGCAAATGAAAAGAACAGTAATCATGCAAGTCATTTAATATTTTTCTTTATAGTAGTTGTAGTTTGAAACTTTCATTTACAATCCTGAAAACAGGTGAAACTCACCAGTTTTCAGATTGAAGAACATACCTAAAACTCATCCAAGGATCATCATTGAAGCATTCAATGAAGTTTGCTAGTATTTTAAGTAAATCTGGAGCCAGATTCAAATAAATCTGGGACAATTTTTGCCTTTGCATCAAAACTACGTGGTTTCAAGTTAGTTTCACTGTGGGCTAGATTGTTGTCAAAGTCCCTACTCAACCATGCCGGGGAGTAAGAGGGAACAAGGTTTCCCTTGCATCCCTGCTTGGCCCTACCCAGATTGTTATGCCAGTCAAAGGGAGGAGAGAAGGAAATACTCACCTAATACTCCCCTCTGTGAGCAAAGGGGACCTGACTCCAACCACCATTCACCAACCAACATAACAAACAAGATTTGCAGTGGGGAGTAAGTTGCTTCATGGAAAGGAATAATAACTTACTTCCCTGTAAGAACAAGGTGGGAGCAAACAAGGTACTGTGGGTCTAAATCCCAGTTCATTCTCTCGTCTGCTCTTGGGATTCTATAGCTGTGCACTCCCCCTTAGTGCAGATTGTGAAGTTACAATATAGCCTTTGATATCTTAGGATTTGAATGGAACCTGAGAGCAAAGCCCCAGGAGAGGTAGTATCTAGCTACCTATGAAACTAAAGAACCTTTCAGCATGAAACCCCCTAGTGAAATGAAACAATTAAGTTGGTCCCACTTCATCTGACACAGAAAATATGTAAACCATGGTGATAGTCTAGAGCAGTGGTTTTCAACCTGTGGTCTGTGGACCCTTGGGGCTCCATAGACTATGTCTAAGAGTTCCAAAGGAGTCTACATCTCCATTTGAAATTTTTAGGGGTCCACAAATGAAAAAAAAAAGGTTAAAAACCACTGGTCTAGAGTGGAAATGGTAGAGGAAGCCGTGATCAGGGAGGTGTTTTTGCAAGGGCAGTTGTTAGAGTTTCATCGGCAGCAGTCCCACCCGATGGCTAGAATTCAGAGAAGTAAGGGAACCCTGCCCCCGCCCACACTCCACTGGGTTCTAACCCAGGGCTCTGGGAGACTGACTCGCCTGCTCACTCTCTCTGTAGGGTGTCCGGACTCTTGTCAACTTCTCTGAGTCACTTCCTACTCAAGTCCAGGTCCCATCTGACCACACCCGACTCTGGGGAATGTCACCTTTGGGCACCCAGCCCTCATCCCTGCCAGGTACTGAGTGTTCCCTGCTCGCCAGCATGAGGCAGTCTCCACTCCAGTCCTCCCTGGGAGCTCCTAGGGTATGTCCTCCTCTCTGGCTGGTCAGCCCCAGACTGAGCTGCCTGGCTGGCTTTTAAACCCTGCCTCCAAGCATGCTCAGCAAGGGCTAAGGGTCGGGGGTCTCTTTAGCCCAGAACTATTCCTTAACCCCTTCCTGGCAAATCTATACACCCTGTCACAGAAGCATTCAGAGGTTAATTCTGAGGACTGGGTTAAAGTCCA